GACTCATTTGAGGCGGTGCCAGACACGATCGACGGGGTCGATACAGCAACGCTGTTCGTGGATCTTGTTTTCCGACAACACGGACTCCCATAGTCAATTTTCTTTGATAGCGACCCCTGTTTCACGGGAATTTTGGTCGACTTTCTTCAAGGTGCTTGGCACCAAGTTGGATAGGTCGACAGCGGATCATCCGCAATCCGATGGCCAAACCGAACGGTAAATCGCTTCATCGAAGACGCTCTTCGCAGCGTCTGTGCTGAGACGCCGAGGCGCTGGAGCGCCATGTTGCCACTTGTAGCGTTTGCGCTGAACAATGAAGTGTATTCCTCTACCAGCTACACGCCGCTCTACGTGAACGGGCTAGTTCACCCTCGCGTCCCGCTGATGCCGCCATCCCGTAGCTCAGGGCTTGGTTGGGGAGGAATAGCCGAACGGCTAGCTGATGTCAGCCCCCTCACCATCCGCAAAGAAGTCATGACTTCTTGTCTACCAGACTGAGTGTCCTACGACACGTTCGCGATGAGATGGCTGAAAGCCAATACCTGCAGCAAGAATATACAGGTGAAAAAGGAAGAGGCTTTAAGGTCGAAGACTCGATTTTATTAAGCTCTAAGAACCTGCCTACACATGCAGTCTCTGCTATCTTCCGGACGAAGATTCATGGACGGTTTACTGGGCCGGTTAAGATTGTGGCCAAGCGGGGCCTAGCGTATACGCTAAATCTTCACAAACAGATGCGCTCCTATCCGGTGTCTTACGTGGGTTTGCTCAAGCCGTATCAAGATCCGGCGCATGTGAACGCGGAAGCGTTGGCGCCAGAGCGGACCCCACGGGCCCTCGACCACCTAGAAACTGACCAGCAACTGGTTTTGAGCACGGAGTGCAACAACCTTCATCTCCACTGCAGCCATGCGATCCACCGTTGTCTGCAGCGACGCATTCGCCTGCTCCACGGCTAGAGGTCGCTCCGACAGAGCGCGGTAGTTCTCAAGGCGAGGCAGCCAGCGCACGCCGCGCTCACAATCATAAAGAGGGTCCGCACCGCGATATGCTACTTTAGCATGGCAATCAGCGGAGCTCCGATCATGAAGGATCTCATTCTGAAGGGCTCGAAGAGCGTCGCGAGTCACCGGACGGCGGTCAACCTGGTCGTCACCCCCGCCACCGACTCTTCTCGATGAGGACGGTGACTTCCAATATAACGTGGAACGTCTAGTACGACGACGTCGTCACCAGGGTCTGACCCAATATCTGGTGGAGTGGCGGGGATATCCCGATTCCGAAAACTCGTATGATTTTGAGGCGACACTTCGGCAAGATTGCCCAGACGCCGTGGACGCTTCAGGACGTCCCGCGCTTCCCGGCAATAGCCAGGGAAGTAGAAGGGCCATGAGCTGAGCTCAAGTAGTGACCCTGAGCTCTTGTGATGGCAGACACTGAGCTTGCGGGCGCGTAAGGAGTTGACCCATACGTCGCAGGGCGACAATCTGAAGGAAGTCGACAGCGTGCCTTGAGTGCTCCACACGCACATTCACTTCCTTGTGGCTCAGCTGTAAGGCATACAGTAAGAAAAGTTTGCGGTGCCGTTGCACCCATCACTCAAAGCGCGCTTCGTCATCTGTAGCGCTTTTGCCAGGGGCGAGCACTACAGGTGTCGTCTGCATTGCGGGTACACGAGAGCTACCACGTTGACCATGCAGACGAGAGCAATAAGCTTCCAGCGGAAATTCTTGTGTAACCCATAAACGAGCTCGAAGAGCTTTTCGCTCGACAAGCTCATCTTCCGTAATGGCCGGGGTTCGATGATGTGGAGGCGTAACGATCGATTTACCACGTCCTTCGCTTGCACAGCGGGATCCGCCGGGCGGAAGCCATATTCCACAGGAGGACCGACCGTGGATGGGAGCACATAAAAGCCGCCTTGCGGGCAGCTTCCAGCTGCCGCTTTTGTGCCTCATTGAGGTTATTGGTGATACATCACGTTACTTAGGTGACGAGAAGTCAGGAAACAAACATTGGGTTTGCAAGGCACGAGCAGGGCTCGTCTCACGCCGCTGGTGCGGCTCGTCATTGCATCCTGGAAAAGGAGTGTCAGACTCGTAGTCGGCACCTCCATAACCCCAACGAGGGCACTCGTCACCGTTAGTGTGCGCGGAGCGCGACGCTCGGGCTCATCAAGACTTGAATTTTTATCCTTCAATGCCGCGGAGACACGGTCTGACTTGGCATTGTGTGTGGGAGATGAAACTGGGCTCTGCCCGCGAGCGCTGTCGGAACAAGCGAGACTTGGAGACTTCGGTGTCAT